CCCAGGTGCTGAGCCAGCAAGGCTTGTGCTGCGGCAGCCCTGGTGCTCCCCGGGCGCAGGCGCCGAACCGGAGAAGAGAAAGCCAGATGGCTCAAAGCAAGACGGAACCTGAGGCACAAAGGCTCTCCACAGACAGCATGCCGTCGCGCAAACGCCACATGGAACCACAACAAGACAAGCAAGCACAGCCGACGCCCACCAAGACCCAGCCCCGCACACAGACAACGCAAGTAGCACAGGCAGAGCCTGCAGCGAAGCGTGCAAAACACGTGTCGGTGAGCAGCCAAGCCAGGACAGCGCCGCCGCCGCTACGAAACTCGCAGGCAAAGCCGCAACAAGAGACGCAAGCCACCCCGACAGCCGCGCAGACGACACTCGCACCGCCGGCAAAGTTGGCTGGACAGACGGCCGCCGAGGACATGTTCCATTATGCGTGTCCTTTTTGTGAGGTGTCTGTGAGCAGCACTGTGCGCACAGGCCAAGTAGATCACCGCCGTGTGTGCGGGAAGTTTTTTCGTGTCAAAGACGGACACGTTGCCGCCAAGAACTTAGTCTATACGTGTCCATTTTGCAACGGAACTGTGGCGAGTAACGTGAGGACAGGGCAGATAGATCACCGAACCGTGTGCGGCAACCAATTCTATGTGAAAGAAGGCACGGCTAGCACGCAGACGCGGCAGCATCCGCACACATGCCCAGCGTGCCAGACTGTGGTCTGGTCATCACAGTTGTTTGGGCGCGTTCGGTGCCAACACAACACGCCAGCGGGAAAACCATGCCCGAAAAACACGTGGCAAGTTCCAGAGCGCAAGCACGAAACAAAGAAATAGAGTATAGACCAATCATCCGGAAGCCACCTAACCACCGGGCAAACGGGAGCCGCGCAAGGCTGTGTTGCAGGACTAGGCCAAAGGTGCCGGGAAGGGTTTGAAGGTGCCTGGAGGACCCCAAAGAAACGAGGTGCAGGCCGAGGTGGCAGGTTCCAGAGGTCAGTTCTAAGGCTGCAGTGCACGGTTCCAGAGGCTCCCTCCCCAGGCTCCCGCCTGACGCAGGCAAGGCTGCGATACAGGAGTAGGCCAAAGGCGCTGGGAAGGGTTTGAAGCCGGGCCAAAATGCCTAACGTTGCTTTCGGAAGCGCATAAGAACAGAAGAGGCAGGCCTGGAACAGGCGAAGAGAAGAGAGAGGCCTGCCAGCTGCCGAGAACGGTTTGGGGGCGGTCCAAAATGCCTAACGTTGCTGGCTGGCCTGCCAGCTGCCGAGAAGGGTTTGGGGGCGGTCCACAATGCCTAACGTTGCTTTCGGAAGCCCATAAGAAGAGAAGAGGCAGGCCTGGGACAGGCCAAGAGAAGAGGCAGGCTTGCCAGCTGCCGAGAAGGGTTTGAGGGTGGTCCAAGTCCTAACGTCGCTTTCGGATGCCCAGAAGAAGAGAAGAGGCAGGCCTGCCAGCTGCCGAGAAGCGTTTGAGGGCGGTCCAAAATGTGCCTAACATCGCTTTCGGAAGCCCATAAGAAGAGAAAGGCAGGCCTGCCAGCTGCCGAGAAGGGTTTGAGGGCTGCCGAGGTGGCAGGTTCCAGAGGCTCAGTTCTACCTGGACATGCGAAAGTGTTCCTTTTTTTTGGTTTTTCGCAAGCGACCAGAAAAAATTGGTTAAACCAATTCCGTGTTTTTGGCGACGACCAGAAAGGCGCGATTCTTGCCTTTTTGGAACCAATCCTTGGTTCCAAGAAAATTGTGAACAGACAAGCTTGCGCCGGCACTGAGTCTTTCTACAAAGTTGGCAAATTCGGGCTCCAAGAAGTGTATAAGAGATGAACCACTTTGGGCCCTGGTTTTTGAACATGCGCGTGCGCAAGTCTTGGGTTTGCGTTCCTCGAGCCATCGTTTAAAAAAAACATAACCAAAATGTGAAAAACCAAATGTGCTTATGTGTGTCAACATGTTTTCCATTGGGCCCCTCAACAAACGAAGGCAGACTATACGGTTTCACACGTGTTTTATTCACACCTCTCCACACGTCTTTGTGCATGGCGATATATAGGCAAATGAACCACGAGACAGTTCCACATGCCAAAACACACCTCCGCACACAATAAACAACACATTTTTTCCGCCCGAACTTTGTCCCATTCAAGTTTCACGGCGATCAACCATTTTTGGGCCGATCGTTTTGCCACATTGGCAGGGTGAACTGTTCTGCCTATGCAGCAAGTTTTTCCCACCCAGTCTTCTGCAGCTTGAGTAGCAAAAATGGCTGGATTTAAAATTTCATCCGCGCCGCCACACGAAAGAAGCTGAAATTGCATGTCCAGCATTATATGAGCTATGTAATGAAACTTTGGTGTCAAATTGAAGAAGTGCAACTTGCAATCGTAGCAAGTTTTGGCGCACACATATGTTCTTTCCAAGTAAAGGTTCAGGAAAGAAACGCACTTCAACCCCTGCGCTATTGACAGGAATGGTTTCTTCACTGAAAAGATCAGCACCAAAAAATCCTGCACTGCTTTGGCCCCCGAGTAAGCAGCCATCTCAAGCGCATCCATTTCAGCACTTCGGTTTGCCAGAACGTCAACCAAGAATCCAAGAATGAGGCGTGTGTCAGAGCCCTTGAAACTTGCTTCCGGGTACTTGTTCAACGAGGTCCACGAAAGGTTGTCTCTGGTGAAATGTTTCACCATTGGGTTTTCACCCAGATCCTTGCAAAAGGCCGCAAAGGCAGTGTAAGCTGCAGCCAGCTTGTCTGGAATATTCCCACAGCCCTTAGCTGATCACAAAGCAGAAAAATATCTACGCTGGAGAACGCTGGAGAAACGCAAAACCCCAAATTAAAGGGAAACCGTCACATCTCGCAAAAATTAAAACATTCAAATATAGGTCTGCAAATCCAGGTGGCAAAGACATCTCGGTAGACCAAAAGACATAACAGGTTTACCACAAATGTGCGTATTGCACCCAAGTGGAAAATGTGGAACACATCTTTCGCAAGAAAAAATTCGTGGTTTGCACCTGGGATTGCATGGAGTGGGCTCTCATTTGTCCATGGCCTTTCGGTAGCCACTGTGGATCGCCATAAAGCACAGTCACGAACGTCTGTGTATGGAACACTGGTGTCGTTGGCTAGGCACCAAGGACACATTTGATTTGGGCTGCAATTGAAATTTCGCTTGGAGTGGTGTGCCCTGGCTTGCGCTGGCAGGTCACCCTCATGAGACACAGTAACCAAATAAAGCCGGCCCATGTCGCCTGCATCAATCCCTTCCCAGTAAACTTCAGCTGCCTGCCGTGCAAGGTGTTCGCAGAGTTCATCAAGCACCGCATTGCCTTTCTCAAACCCTGCGTGAGCTTTTTTGTAAGTTTCATGGCCCATACAGGACCAGAAAAAGTAGCGAGACATGCTGGAAAAGTTCTCATGCAAGACTGGCCCCCAACTAAATTGATAAATGCCTGTGCGGCGAAGGCCCGTTCCCTCATCGCTGTGAAGTTTGATAGGCACGCG